CCCCCCGCCGCCCGCCTGCAAGAAAACGAAAGCCTGTAATTCAAACAGCTGGGGCAGACTCTCTCTGAGATGCCTGTGCTTTTCTCTTAAGTGTGTACTTTCGCTTTAATAAAACTTGTGCTTTCCTGCTTGCTGTTTGCCGTGTCCGTAAATTCTGTCTCTGGGGTGTAAGAGAGGAACCTGGTCACCAGAGCCCCGGAGCTCTCCGGCATCAAAGTGAAGAAACAAAATATGGATAGCTGAATTAAGGCACCTTAAGGAAAAAGACCCTTTTCTTGTCTTAAAATAATTAATTTTAAAATAAAAGCAACACATTCACAGACTAAATATTCAAACAGCATACAAAGATTTAAAATAAAAAAGTAAAAACATTCTTCCTCCATCTTCCTACAATTCCCATTCCCATTCCCACTTTCCGTAGAAGTATCCACAATGAACAATTAATGATCTCTTAGGTAGTTTTCTGGACATTTCTAAGATGTAAAAGAAATCACATTCTACAATATTATGCTTTGTTGTGTTTTAACTTTTTCACTTAATATTTTTAGAGCTCTTACTTTTCTCACTTATAGACTTACCTAATTCTTTTTAATAGGAGGGTAATTTTTTGACTAGCTCTCTACTGATGTTTATTTAGTTTCTTTCCAATTATTTGCTAGGATAAAAGATGAGGCCATGAATAGCTTTGTACTGCGTGCTTATGTAAATATATCCCTGCGGTAATTCCAAGAACTTTTCCATGGTTTTTGAAGCCTTGAATACACATAGAGTTCAAACATTATGGAATTCAGAAATGCAATATAATAGTCCTGAATAGTAACTCTACTGAAGCTTTAAATTCCATAATCACCTGGGCTTTTCCTGAACAAACAAATATCCCATAACTTTCCAAATACTTTTCTCTTCCCTGATTCTTTACATCCTTACCTACAAGTCACCTACTTCCAAAATCAGCACACTGACACTCCAGGAATTTCACTGCTGAAAAGACAAAGTCTGAATTTTTAAATAAGTAAATATAAAATACTTCCTTACCTTGAACTGGGCACTTCTTATACGAGTTAAATTCATTAGCATGACTCCTGAATTAATCCCTGAAGAGCCATAGAAAGGGTGCTGAGCAAAGCGGCTATACCAGCCAATCTTGGGGATTTCATGCTCCGGAGCCATGGCTGCAAGCTGGGTGGAGTTAAACTGCCGCAGAAGCTTCCAGATGTCATCCACAGGTCTCAGAAAGAGAACGTCGGTGTCCACATAGAGAAGCGAGTCCACATCCTTTAAAATCATCTTTGTGTGTACCAGGGGTAGGGAGAGAGAGAAAACAAAACAAAAACAAGTCAGAAACAAAAGAAGTGGCCAGATTTCTACAATGCCACCAATTTCATAGATTAATGTTGTATTCTAGAAAGGTTATCACTCTCAGCTCTCATTCTTCCCTTCTTCCTTGGTTTGAAGAATAAGTGTCAATCAAGGGGTAGAAACTCAAAGGAAGACAAACCCCCATCTAGATAGGTCCAATTCCAGGACCCTGAACTATATTTGGTAAGGGCTACACTTTCAAAGGAATGAAAACATCAGCAAATTACTGTGGCTCTGTCTTCTTCCACCCTCCAATAAGGCCATCTGTCTTTCTCTCTTAGTGTTTTCTTGAAACAGCTAGGTCTGGCATTAGATAACTTCAAGTGGACAATCTTAAAACCAGCTCATGCCAGGCTTTGGAGTAAATATTCTGTCTCTGAATCCATTTTTTCATAGTGTTGATAGGTAGGACTCTGTATCTTTTTGAAATGATATTTTGAGCTAAGATTTAGACTTGGGCATAGGCAAAGTAAGTCATTGGTCAGCTTTGTTTGCAGACCAGGGATTGGCAAACCTTTTTTCTAAAGGGACAGAGAGTAATTATTTTAGGGTCTATTGAAACTACTCAACTTGGCCATTGTAGCATGAAAGCAGCCATCAACAATGTGTAAACAAATGAGCCTGGCTGTATTCTACTAAAACTTTATTTAGAAACACTATAATTTGAATTTCATATAATTTTCAGATGGCACATAACCTTCTTTTGATTTCTTCAACGATTTGAAATGTAAAAACCATTCTTGGCTCATGGGCTGTGGTTTGTCAACCTCTGTTGTAGGTCATTCAATCAAACTAACTTTAGTAAATGAGTTCTCCTGCACTAAATGCTTAGCTTACCAGAATTTTGCCCTGGATTTAAGAGATTACAAAACTTTAGATAGTAATAGTGTTATTTGCCTTATTTTTCCATTGTTCCCCAAACTTAGGGGTAGATTAACCAAGAAAGGATTTGAATCTTCCTAGATTCAAATGGTTTAACATCATTCTAACACCATAATAACACTTGTTATGTTATGGAATGTCTGTGTCCCTCCAAAGTTTATATGTTAAAGCCCTAGCCCCCAATGTGATAGTATTAGAATATGGGGTCTTGGGAGGTAATTAGGGTTAGATGAGGTGACCAGGGTAGAGCCCTTCTGATGAGATTGTACCCCTATAAGAGACACTAGACACCTAGCTGTTCCAAGAAAAAAAAACTAAAAGGAGAAAACAGATGGCCTTATTGGAGAATGAAACAAGAGAGCCACAGTAATTTGCTGTTTTTATTCCTTTGAAAGTTCAACCCATACCAGAAAGCTTGCTCTCTCTCTCTCCACCATGTGAGGACACAACAAGAAGGAACAATCTATCTGTAAGTCAAGAAGAGGGCTCTCTCCAGAACCTGACTATGTACTGGCACCCTGATTTCAGACTTCCAGCCTCCAGAATTATGCAAAAATTATTTCCTCTATTTAAGCCATCCAGTCTCTGGTATTTTGTTATGACAAGCTGACTAATACAACATTACATTGGGATCCCCAATATTCAAAATTGATGAACGTGGTACTATATAATATAGGTATCACAGAGATTTCATTCTTGAATAATTTCAGAGCTTACATGGATTTATCATTCTCATCTACTAAAGGAATAGATTTTATGAGCCAATAAAATAAAATTAAAAATTATCATCATTTAGCATTTCATAAAAGATTATTTTGACATCCATTGTAATAACTCGAAGATCCTAATTTCGAAATTAGGATGATTTCTTTAAATTGAATATACAAACTTTAAAAAAATCTCCCGCATTATCCTTATTTTTTTCCTCTTATTTTGTCATAGAAAGGTAAAAACTTTGCCACAGATTAGTATTAGTCTGTTGACTTTTTTTGTAAATAACAACTCTAGAGTACTGTGGAGGAAAAGCAAACTCTCCACAAAAGTACTAGTAAATATATGTTATAATACATGCATGTTATAATAAATGCATGTTATATTGATGTTCCACATGTAAATATACTTATGATGTCTTCCATGCCCACGACCATTCCAAGGACTTGACATCCTGCCAATCTTATTTTACTGGGAAAGAAAACTAAAGCACAGAAAAGTCTTCTATTCAAGTTCATGTGTCAAATAATGCTGATTGCTGTATTTTGGCTAACAAAGTTATAGCAAGGTAAAGTCACTTTCTAGAATGTGTTTAAGGAAACAAAAGGCTGCATGGTATTCCAGTAAAAAGCTAATTTAGAAACATTGAATTAGAGAAGAAGAGAAAACTATTTCAACTCATGTGAAATAGTACAAATTTCTTTTTATGGCTGATTATCTAATAAGGACTGAATAAAAGGACATACTACTAATGTTTTAATCAATTAAAGGTTATGCGGACATTTACCCAAAAAATGCAAGGTAATTGTGTTGATTATTTTTTTTCTTGGCTTTAAATCATTATTACTGTTAAAGTTACCATTTCTTTCTTCAATAAAATAAATGTGTTACCACCCTTCATTAAAACAAAAAAGAAGAAAACAAAAATTCTTGAAGAACGTCTTCAAAAGGAAAACCAAAAAGATCTGGAGGATGGAGGTATTCCATCATGAAGCTATAGGCAATACCTTTAATCAATAGAGAAAAAGACAAGTTGTATCAGAAATTTATAAAATCAGAACAATCTTAAATAGTGTAAAATTTTTATTTGATCAATATCCTATTATGTGACATGCAAATTGCTCCCGCCCCCTTTTTTTTTACTGTTATAAACAATACTACAATGGCTTTCTTTTTAGGGAAATTTCTAAGTACATAATATGGCATTTCTTTTTCTGTTCAATTTAGTAAATATTTACATGATTAAAAATAAAAATATATTAAAGTAAATTTCTTCACAAATTATTCTTCCTTATCCTTCTATTACCAGTTCCCCTCCTTAGAGATAGTCAATATTATTGAACTGGTCTGAGTTATGCCAGAGATATTTTGTGCATTGAAGAATAACTATGCATATACAATTCCTTCTTTTATGCTACAAATGATGAAATAGCATACATGATATCATCAATCCATTTGTTTTAATTTTTTGAACATAAAAATAAATGTAGAATAGCAATACATAAATATTTTATTTATTATTTTTTATTCCTGTATAGCAATCCACTTTGTTGATCTACCAAAATTTATTTAGTCATCTACTGTAGAACACTTAGGTTTTCCTCAAGCATTTTTAATTACAATGTCACAGTGGAAAACCTCATATTAATTCATTTCAAACACACATGAATGTATCTGTAGGATAAATTCATTAAAATATAATTCCTTAGTCAAAGAATACACACATTGGTAAATTTGATAGATATTGCCAAACTACTTCCCTTGAGATGTACTGATTTTGGCTTCCCCCAGCAATGTAAGAGGGTACCTTTTTCTCCTCATCTTTACCAGCACAGGTATAATAAGGCTTTTGGGTGTTGGCTTACAAAGAGGCATACCTCAGAGGATCCTAGTCTATCATCTCATTTTAGTTCATAATTTCCTGCCAGTTTTTCCCTGGTGGGCTGGCCTGGGATATGACCAGGAGGTGATGCAAGTCTGGAAGACAAATGATGAGCTTTGAGGGACACTTGACTAAGAGTGCTGGTTTCCACCAGATGCAACCACACAGCCCCCAGATCTGAATCCTTACAGGTGGAAGGCCCTGTACACCATCCTTCTCCAGAACCATAACTAATCTTTCCTCTGATAATGTTTGATTCTGGACACACACTTTCTGGACTAGGGCAAGGAAGAAAAACTTATCAATAAATTCATGGCTACAGCTTTTCGAAAACTTGAAAGTCTTTAGTTAGGATGACAAAGCCAGTTCAAACTAAACTAGAGATTGCAAAGTAGGTCAAATTCAGTCCATAGATGAATTTTAAAAAATACATTTAAAAACTTTGAATTAGTTGCCAACATTTTTAAAAACTGTAGAGTTCACAAAAATATCTAAGTTTCTGTCTTCTTTTGAAAAATCTACAGCTCAGGCAAGAACAGTCTGCATCCTATGATGGAAAAATCTGCTGATACTTGCCTACAGGCACCCCAAGCATTCTCAGTTCATTCATATAATAAACATTTATGGAGGGTCCACTAGGTACCAGGTGTGACCAGCAGTGACAGAGACAGATAAAAATCTCTGCCTTCATGACAGTGTCAGATAATAAAAAAGATAAATATATGGATTATGTATTATATAAGCAGAAGAAAAATAAAGCAGGGAAAGGGGCCAAGGGTTCGAGGTGTGGAAGAGTTTGCAATTTTAAATAGGTGGTTAGGAAGGTGAGCAAGTACAAATAAAGCTGGAGCACTGTGTCATACACTCTCAGAACAGCAGAGACTGGTGCGGCTGGGCCACAGTGAGCTAGGGGAAGAAGAGCCAGAGATGGGGCTGGACAGGTAAAAGTAAGCTCATTACTTATGGCTTCGTTTGCCCTTGGAAGAACTTTGGCTTTTACTGAATGAGATGGAAGCCATCGAAGGGCTTTTTGCAGAAGAGTGACATAATCTGACTTAGATAAAAGGATCATTTTGGATGCTGCACTGAGAAAAGATTGGGGAGCACAGGGGAAGCAGGGAAACCCCGCAGAAAGCTATTTTAGTAATTCAGGCAAGAAGTGATGGTGGCTTGGCCCAGATGGTAACATCCCAGGGGGTGAGAAGTTGTGGAATCCTAAATATAGTTTAAAGATAGAGCCAGCAGGATTTCCTGATGGATTGGATGTGCAATGTGAGAGAAAAGAGAAAAGTCAAGGTTAATTCCAAGGATTTTAACTTGAGCAACAGATATAATAGAGTTGCCTTTAATGAGATTGCACCTGATATATGTCATTCCTGAGTTACGTGTCTGGCCCTCGAAGGTAAGTATTGGAGTTTGTAGCTGCTGAAGCTAGAGTAGCTGGTAAATACTA